TCATTCCTTCTGATCTAGAAGCTAGACTGGGCAGCTAGCTTCCTCTGGGTGGTTTCTTTCCGTTCATGTCCAAACAGGAGCAAGTGCAACAAAGCAAGGGGAGCTGGGTGGTGGAGTACCAAGCTCTCCAGCTCCGTGGCGGCAGAGAAATGCAACACAGCTGGAAAGCAGGTTTGTTTAGGAGCCCCTCTTGCAATTTAGCAAAGGAATGCTTTTGGCCAGCAAAGGGAGATGGGTGGTACACCAAGCTCTCCAGCTCCGCGATGGCAGTGAAACACGACTGAGCTGGAGAGTAGGATTGTTTAGGACCCCTCTTACAATTTGGAGGAGTGCTTTTGGCAAGTGAGGGGAGTGGGGTGATTGCAGGCCATCTTCTCCAGCTCCTCGGTGGCACAATTTGTGAAACCCGGGCAGGTTCAGCACTTCAGTAAGTGGCTGAGCAGGGCTACACTCAGCAGGGAAGGGGAGAGACCAGTTTGGCGCTTCTCTGCTTGGCTAGACAAGGACTCCGGCACCCAAGGCCACATAAGATGTGAGTTTGGGAAGTGTGGGGCTCTCAAATGTGGCACCAAAGGTAAATTAGTGTTTGATGATGGGGTGGGAAGGCAAGGCCAAAGCAGCTTGGAACCCAAAGGGGTGGAAAAAAGAAAATAAGGTCTCTCAAGGGTGGGGGGAGGCGTTTGGTGGCTGAATGCAGTGGTGCCCCTCCGCTAGCTCCCCCCTGGCCTTCACTACCTTGAGATACCTCATGTGCACTTAACGACCCACACATTTGATTAGTGAATGCTTGGACAAAAGCAGGGAGTGATCATGTTCAAGTTATGTGATTCACTCCTACAAATCCTTGGTCTACAAATGTAATTGACATGCTCCATTACATTTGTAACTTGAGGATTACCGGTTCCTATAAGTTGTGGAAAGGGCAGAAGGAAATTGCTGTGAGTTTGAACTACTATGGATATCAGAGCCACTTGCACCTTCACACTGGCAGTGTTCAGTCACCTGTTTTGTTTAGTTTCATGCTTGATGGTAATGAAGATTTTTAACTAATGAAACTGTGACTGAGAGACTTTTGGAAGTCCTAACCTAAAAAATTAATTGAGCTATGTAAAGTCTGTGTTTAAATGCTGAGATGGTCAGAAGAGCCTGAGAAATTGGATGAAAGAGGGAGAACTAGACTTTCTTGATTCACAAGAAATTTGAGAATATTGTTCTCCAAACTGGTATTTCCAGAGGAGGTGGGAAAGACTGGAATAAAAAAGCATTACTACAGAACTTATAATGGATTTCTTTCTCTCCAGGTAGGATCTGTTTGGGACAGCCTATGATGATTTCTGTCAGAGCTAAACTACCTGTGAAGCAATACTTCCTTTTCCTGCAGCTGTTCAGTTTCTAGCAGTCAAATAGTAGTCTCAGTTGACTAATGCCAAAGCCAGGCATTAAAACAGCTTCCTCCAGTTTGTTATTCTCACATTTTGCTTACCTTGGCATGAAGACTAGCTGTTTTTGAGGGACATATCCCCATAGTGTCAACTTAGAACCAACCTTTATTGTTCTGGTTTGGAAATTATATTTTTGATCTTCTTCCAACAGAAAACTTGTCAACTTTTGCCTGTAGGTGATTACAGGGGAAAGCCCAGAGATGACCTGATTGGGGAAGGAATCTGTACAATTCCAGTTGGCCCAACTAGACTATGGAGGAAATGCCTCCTCATCATCTGGCTTCTGGATGTTGTGCCTGCAGGGCCATTTTGGATTTGACTGTAAAAGAGAGTGGACAACTAGTCTTTTTCTTTTTACATTGCAATCCAGGAGATTGATAGTTCTGTCACCCAGGAGTCCTGCTATTTGGGAGATCACAAAAAAGAGAAAGCACCTGAGACATACAAGCACACAAAAACCACTCATTTTCTTGGGAGAAATTGTGTTCAGGAGTAAGAAAGAAAATAAAGATCTGGTGATTTAATAACACTGACAAATCTCTGATTCAGGCGTCTCAGCTTTGAATTTCAAATCAGCTCTTCCAGTCGCTTGCAGTTTAATTGGAGAATAAAATGGTCAGTGAAATGGAAGGTTAATATACCTGTCAAACAATCCCCTTTCCTTCCAAAAATTAGTGCCTCAACCCCCAATTCCATTCAATAATATATAGTGGAGATATTGGTGTTTCTTTTGTCACTCATCTATGATGCTGGTTGAAAGAATGACTGGAAGCTCATCATTGATGATCTAAAACTACTCAACATTGTATGAGCATAGCAACATCACCAGGCTAGTTACTGAAGCACAATAAAGGCAGACTGTGAGGCCAGTAAAACTGATAATACACTTTCCTCTTAATTGAAGGACAGAAGGAGAACGTAAGAACATGGTTTTGAGAATGACCTCAACTGCCATCAACCTTAGGCAGCATCAGGGTTAGGAGGTAGCAGTTGTAACTTAATAGAGTTTAGTCAAGAAAGACCACGTTCTACTTATTATTACAAACTTGCAAATAAAATATCGTTAGTACCCGATGGTTCTGCAACACATTTGGGGTTAATAGAAAACGAGTCCGATTAGGAAGCAGATCGGGTTTCTTCGATGGAATTCTTTTTGCTAATGTGAGGAAACATTAGAGATTTGCTGAAGAGCCTATTATACAGTGGCCAAATAGTCTCTGGAGAGACCATTATTTGATTCCCCAGATTCTGTAATCTATTGATTTCATTCTGCGTTGATGTAGCGCCCATGAGGCACATGAGTGATCTTCTCATCTCCCTACCAGCAAGGATCCTACAGTTGTGGTGCTGCTTCACATGTAGGTGAGATGGGAGCAGAGTGCTGTTGCAAAGAAAATTCCACATCATGAATAAAGACAGAATGATACCCACGCTCTCTCTCCTGTTCCCTCCCTCCCTTACTTCCTCCTAATAGTTTTTCTTAAATGCCACTCTATTCAGAGAGAGTGAGCCCGGAATGCAGTGAGTCAGGAAGTGCATCAGAAAAAGTAAAACGCTTAAGAAAGAAATCCATATTATAGTTGTCTGGGTGTATTGCATTTTAAAACTTTGGTGGAATTTAAGAACCCATGTGCAGCTTTAAAGTTCCTTTAATGAGAGGAAGAAATGATGAAATTAATTTAATCAGATTTTCATGTTAGTTACATTTTAGAGATTAGTAAAACATGAAAACAGAAAGAGAAAAACAAACAAACCTTTTCTTAATTAAATACCAGGGCCTCATAATTGTTAGGGTAGGGAAGAATGAGCTCATAACTTGCCTTTCTTGAGCTCAAAGCCAATAGATTGTTGTCCCCTTTTAAGGGCCATACAGTTGACATTAATTACGTGACCATTTATAGATTTCCACATGAATGAATAATTGTATGGTTGTGCAGAGAGATTCTCTTTTGGCTTTCTATCCAAATGCATGTTGAATTTGGTTCTCTGTTCGCGTGACATTTGACTGAAGACTACAGTGCAAAAAGTCTCTAATGTCTTTTATTCTGCAATACATATATCTTGAAGAACATCTTAACCCCTCCCTCTTTTTTAAAAGTATGGTTATAAAAGTTTATTTTATCTGATTATTATTCTACCTCTATTACATTTGTGATCCAACTAGATAATCCCACCAAAAATCAGTTTTAACAAAATAGGGGTATCTGCAAAGTACAGTAAAAAAAGACAAGATGTCAGTCTTGGCAGTGCTTACAGAGCTACAGAATAACAGAGTTGGAAGGGACTTTGGAGGATCTCTAGCCCAACCTCCTGCTCAAGCAGGAGATCCTATACCATTCCAGACAAAGTGGCTATCCAATCTCTTTAAAATTTCCATTGTTGGAGCATCCACAAATTCTGAAGGCAAGCCCTTCCATTGGTTAATTGTTCTCACTGTCAGGAAATTTCTCCTTAGTACTAGGCTGGTTTTCTCCTCGATTAATTTCCATCCTTTGTTTCTTGTCTTATCTTCTATCTGCTTTGAAAAATGGGATGACCCCCTCTTCTTTTTGGCAGCCCTTAAAATATTGGAAACACTGCTATCATGTTGTCCCTAATCCTTTTTTACTAGACTAGACCAGAGGTGGATTGCTCTTGGTTTGGCCCAGTTCAGCCAAACCAGTAATGGAATTGTGGCCTGGGTCGCAGAACCAGCAGCAACCCAGGCTGGCCATGCCCCTGAACCAGTTCCCTAATCTCTTATGCTGTTGCCGCCATGTTTCTACGCATGTGCAGAACCATATTTAGTCAACTGCGCATGCACCAGCAATGCATGGCCAGTGCGTGTGCGAGCACAGCGAATCGGTACTGACCAGTATAGAAACCCACCCCTGACTAGACATATCAAATTACTGCAACTATCTTTTTGTTTTTAATATATGTCAACGTGGAACATACATAAAACATGGCAGAGCTTCAATCAATACCATTGAAGCTGCCATTTTGAGATTTTTTTTAACCTGCAGACATCTCCATAACAAAAGGTCAATCCATATGGCAATTTCCTGAGGACAGAACAAGAAGCAATGGGTGGAAACTAATCAAGGAGAGAAGCAACTTAGAAATTTCCTGACAGAACAATTAATCAGTGGAACAGCTTGCCTCCAGAAGTTGTGAATGCCCCAACACTGGAAGATGTTGGATAGCCATTTGTCTGAAACGGTATAGGGCTGAGATGGCGAACCTATGGCACATGTGCCACAGGTGGCATGCAGAGCCATTTGTCAGGGCACACAAGGTATTGCCCTGTCAGCTGGCATCTCATGCGCGCATTATGGGTGCGGCACACCCACGCATGACCTCCCCCTGCACTCCCCTCATTTATGGCACATGAGCCAAAAAAGGTTCACCAATACTGGTATAGGGTTTCCTGCCTAGACAGGGGATTGGACTAGACGACCTCCAAGGTCCCTTCCAACTCTGCTATTGTATTGTGGTATTCTGCTTTTTTGAAGTGAAACAAAAATTTGGAAGAGCACCTTTTGTGATATTTTATGTGATAGTTGTCTTTTTGTTTAGAGTTCTAGAATGCCAAGGACTCCCGATTGTGAATGGCCAGTGTGATCCTTATGCAACAGTTACATTAGCAGGACCAATAAGGTTAGTAACATTTATTACTTATTCATTTTTTCCCAATCTGGTTAAAGTTAAGTGAAGAATCCTATGAAATAAGTAAAAATTAAGAATTTGTGACTTAATATTAAATTCCTACTTCATTTATGGAGAATCCAATTTTAGTGTGGTAACATCAGAGGTGGGTTGCTGCAGGTACAGTTGTACTGGTAGTGGCCGGGAGCAGCCGAGAGCGTACCGATACGGTGGCACATTTGGCCCACCCGCCCGCCTGCACTCTATAGCTTTTTTATAGGAAACGGCAAAGTGTGCATGCGTGCACAACATGCACTGTCTGTGCGAGCCCCAAAAAGCAGCTGGTTGTTACAAGGGCGGTGGATTGTTCATGCATGCACAGCGCATATCCGGCGCATGTACACTGCTCGCCCGGCGCATGCACGAACAGACCGCTATCAGCATACCAGTAACGATGGTAAGAGCAACCCACCATTGGGTAACATCTATTGATCAAACTGTTGTTGTTGCCCCAGATCATGTGATTCCATTTTATGAAAGCCACTGACTACTGGGTGGGTATAGTTCAAAGGGGTGATTAAGACCTATAACACTTTTTAAGAGCATGGAATTAGTTATCTTCTTTATAAATCACTTTATAAAGTTTTACAAAAATGAGAAATAAACTCAACACATGATAATTAAAATGCTCGCTTTCTGTTGATGAGAGCTTAGAAAGTGTTGGATCACTAGAACCAGAGAAATGCAAATTCAAATCCACTCTCAGCAAAAGGAACTCACAGGGTTTCTTTAAACCTCTAAAGAAAAGGCAGAATGAACGTATGTCCTCAATTAATAGTTTTTTTTAATGCACTAAGAGATATAGACAAGCTAAATGTCTGCTTCCTGTCTCATCCTGCAAGAAGCTTAGGGAAATGAAATAACCAAAAAAGCCACTGTTAAACATACTTCTAAGATAACTCTTAACACCAGGCCTGACCCTTTCAGCTTGTCCTATTTTGGGTAACATTTCTGCCTTGCCCTTTTTTTCCTTGCAGATCTGAAGTCAAAAAGACTAAAGTTAAAAAGAAGACAAACAATCCACAGTTTGATGAAATATTTTTTTTTGAGGTTAGTATTGGGGGGGTGGGGGAGGAATGTTCTGCTGTAGTTGACTGCCATAGGTCCATGCTGTGCCAGCTGCTGGATTTTAGAGAGTGCTCAAGATAGAGCCTGAAGTATCGTGGAGCCAGCCAGCT